CAGTCGAGTTATTCCTTATGATCCAAAGTGACAGTGAGGGCTCCGACAATGATATCGACTTGAGTAACGCATATGACACGAGTTTGCTTGTGGCATTCACGGACATGCTCACCACCGTGGAATGCTGCTTTTGGGCTCGGGAAACAAGCACTGAGCGGTGCGATCACATCGTCATGCAAGTTTGGGATGATGAGCAGTGGCTGCAAAACTTTCGGATGAGAAAAGCCACTTTCATGGGACTGTGTGAGGAGCTCACCCCAACCCTGCAGCGCAAGGACACGAGATTGGGAGCTGCCCTGACGGTGGAGAAGTGGGTGGCTATTGCAATCTGGAAGCTGGCAACTCCAGACAGCTACCGATCGGTTGCTAACCAGTTTGGCGTAGGGAAGTCGACTGTTGGAATCGTGTTGATGCAAGTTTGCAGGGCCATTAATCGCATCCTGCTTAGAAGAACCGTGACTCCGGGTAACGTGCATGACACTGTGGATGGCTTTGCACAAATGTGTTTCTCTAACTGCGGAGGGGTGATAGATGGCACACATATTCGAATTCTGGCACCAGCCCACCTAGCCTCCGCGTACGTTAATCGGAAGGGGTATTTCTCTGTGGTTCTCCAGGCGGTTGTGGATCACCGTGGGCGTTTCATGGACATTAATGCAGTCTGGTCCAGAAAGGTGCATGATGCACACATCTTTTGGAACTTTGCCTCTTCCAGAAGCTGCAAGCCGGGACTTTTTTCCCAGATCACCGTAGGGGAAGTTGAAATGCCCATTGCGATCCTTGGAGACCCAGCTTGTCCTTTAATGCTAGGGCTCATGAAACCCTACACAGGGAGCCTTGACAGCAGCAAGGAGCGGTTCAGCAACAGGCTGAGCCAGTGCAGAACGATTGTGGAGTGTGCTTTTGGCTGTTTAAAGGGCCGCTAGTGCTCTTTGTATGGGAAGCTGGACCTGGCCGATGACAGCATCCCCGCAGTTATATCCACCTGCTGAACTCTCCATAACATTTGTGACGGGAAGGGTGAACAATTCACTCAGGCATGGAACTCGAAAGTTCAACACCCGGAGGCTGAATTTGAACAGCCAGAGAGGAGCTGCAAGGATTAGGGATGCATTGAGGGAGCAATTTGAGGCTGAAAGCCACCAGTAATGTCTGGTGCCCTGCACGGGAGCGAAGTGCAGTGGTTCCAATGTTAGTAGGAATCTGTGTTTGCTCTGTATGACTTGCAGGGCCTGTTGCTTTCCTTGGCTAAAGTATCTTTTAGTTAATGCAATGATAAAGAATGTTTTCAAAGCCAAAAAATTCATTTGTTGAAAAGAAACACAACAGCTTGGGAAAGAGAAAGGGCAATGGGGTGGGGTGGGGAACGGTACAATCACAGATTTGCATATGTCCTGTTATCATACTCAGCCTTCCTGTCTGGAGTGCTGTGCAATGAGTGCTACACTTCTGGATGGCTATACTGCATGGTGATGGGAGTTGAGTGCAGAGGGTAAGGGTCGTAGTTTTCAGGGCTGGGTGGTGAAGCTACAGGTGTTGGAGGCAGCTGGTGGCGGTAAGAATCCGGATGTTGGGGAAAGTGGGTTGGAGGTGACATGGGGCCACAAGGGAAAGAGTTTTGGCACAAGGGCTGCAGGAGGGGGGTCAGGCACGGTAGTGTTCCGCCTACATGGCTACGAGCACCTGGATCTAGTCCACTTGGCGCTCTATTATGCTCATCAGTCGATCCGTGCTTTGCTGCCGGAGCACCGCGCTTTTGTGCCGGTGCTCCTCATTCTGCTGGTGGATCCTCCTTTCACTGTCCCGCCACTCCTTCACTTTTTGATTTTCATTACTTGAATGCTGCATTACTTCATGCAACATGTCTTCCTTGCTTCTACGTGGCCTCTTTCTGATGTTTTGGAGTCTTTCGGCTGGTGATAACAGGGACAGTTGAGATCTCAAGGTTGCATCTGTAAAGGCAAAATGCAACACTTAACAGAGGCAGCATTGTTCACACCAGACAGAGCAATGATTCCCCATACTTAAGGGCAAGCACAGTCTACACAATAGCATAATTTGCCCATCCCAAAACAAGCACACATAACCCACAGGAGCCCCAAAATGGTGAGTAAGCACAGGGTCAAGCGTGACTGATTGTTTCACGGCTGTACTGTCCTCTGGGTTTCTGTGCCTTGGGGAGAGCCAACAGCGGCAGGGGGCCCCCTATACTGAACATTGTCCCCACATTTTCCACAGGAGTTCGTCCTGGAAGATATCTCTCTGCTGAGGGTGACCTGGGAAGCAAGGGAGGGTCTTCTACTGCAATGCAAATTCCGCCCTGGCCCATATGCAGCTTGCCTGTGTGCAGCAATGGTCCCCCCGCCCCTCACACAGCACAGTGGAGCGGACAAGTTAGCCTTACTGGGATGAGGACAACAGTGGTTCTCCTGAGAAACCTGTGCAAGCGCATTACCCAGCTTCTGCATGAGACCTTTGAAGAGAGATTGCTGAGGCCAATTACCACGATGTGAGGGAGCACATCAACGCCCTATTCTGCATCTAGGCATGCATGCATCCCTAACCCTCCTCGCCCCAACAGCCCGCACCAAACAACTTCCTTCCCAAAATAAAAGTCCCTTACCAGGAACCTCCTCTGATGTTTGTCCTTCCCCAAACACCGGCAGCCGCGACTGGCTACTTTTCTCCCGGCTTGAGAGCAGCTCCTGGCTGCATGCATCTAGGGATTCCAGGGTGTCTTCCTCCGCCTCAGCACCCTCGCTCCCACTTTGCTGCTGCTCCTCCTCCTCCTCTCGCCTTGTTGAACTGGGCTCTGAAGTGTCCATGGTGATACTCGGGGTGGAGCTGGGGTAGGCCTAAAGTATCACGTCCAGCTCTTTGTAGAAACGGCAGGTCATGGGGGCAGCACCGGAGCGGCTGTTTGCCTCGCGGGCTTTGCGGTAGGCATTCCGCAGCTCCTTCACTTTAACCCTGCACTGCAGTGCATCCCGGTCATGGCCCCTTTCCATCATGCCCCTTGATATCTGCCCAAAGGTATCGTAATTCCTACAGCTGGAGCACAGCTGCGACTGGACAGCTTCCTCCTCCCAAACACTGGTGAGGTCCAGCACCTCGCCACTGCTCCATACTGGGAATTGCCTGGCGCTTGGAGGCATGGTCAGCTGGAAAGATTCACTGAGAGCACTCCACGCCTGGCTGAGCAAACAGGAAGAGGATTTTCAAAATTCTCAGAGAATTTAAAGAATTCTGACAGTTGATCACCTGAGGGCAGGGCAGTAGAGTTCAAAGTGATGACCAGAGTGGCTAGCACAGGCATTGTGGGACACTTCTGGAGGCTGATCAGAGCGCAGTAACAGACCAGGGCATCCACACTGGCGCCGCGGCGCTCCCGCGGGGGCGCCCAAAATTTTATTCCACTCGCCAAGGTGGAGTACCAGGAGCAGACCAGCTGCGGAGTCAGAGTGCTCTACGTGCCTTGCCAGTGTGGACGGGTAGTGAGCTAGTGCGCCCGGGGCTCCTTTAATGCACTGTAATTCGCAAGTGTAGCCAAGCCCTAAGACTGTTTATCCAGAAATCTGAGTTTCTAGAGGTAATAGCTAGATTTTTGTAAGCATGTGTTTACATTCAGAAGTTATACCAGTAAAAAGTATGGAATGACTTTAAAGCACTATAGTTACACTGGCGTAAGTCCCTGAGAGGGACACACTTATTCTGGTATAAGTGCCCTTTCCCAGGTTAGCTTTGGAAGGGTTTCAAGGCCTGGTCTACACTTAAAAAACTTAGGTTGACATAGGTACAGCGCTCAGCGGTATGAAAAATCCACAGCTTCCTGAACATCATGACTAACCTGACCTAAGCCCTGTGCAGACACAGCTAGGTCAATGGAAGAACACTTCTATTACCTAGCGACCGTCGCCTGGGGAGCTGGTGTTTCTACAGCGATAGAAAAGCCGCTTCCACTACGGGAGTCTGCATCCCCACTACACGGCTATGTACTGTAGCTACATGCCTGTAGTCTGGACCAAGCTCATCATCATAGTGAACTGCTCCACAAAAACACAGCAAAAGCCTCCTGGCGTTATCGCTTAACTAGAATAATTCTTCAGGAGCAAAGACCGTTGACGGGAGCTCAGCACACAGGGACCAAGTGTTCGCCAAGGCTCTCCACGTGCCTCTTGGGGTGTTCCGCGCTGCCCCTGGGCCCCAGCCGCTCTCTGCTAGCCCAGCGCTGGGCTGAGAGCAGCGCTGCTCTCCTCCGTGGCCAGGGCCGGGAGCAGCTGGTGGGAAGGACGGGAAGACCACGGGCCTTTCCCCGAGCAGACACACGCAGCGCGGCACGGGGGGGAGACCCTGTGCCCCAGCAGGCGCGCGGGCAGACCCCCAACACACACGGCGTGACGGCGCAGGGCACCCACGCGCGCGCGCGCACACACACACACGGCGTGACGGCGCAGGGCACCCCACACGCGCGACACAGACACACGGGTGAAACCCGCGGACACAGAACACGGCGTGAGGGAGGCACCGGCGCGACACAGAACACGGCGTGAGGCGAGAGCGCGCGCGCACACAGACACGGCGTGACGGCGCAGGGCACCCCACACGCGCGCGCACGCACACACACACACGGCGTGACGGCGCAGGGCACCCACGCTGGGAAGCGAGCCCACCCCACTGAACGGGGGCTATGGCTGCTGCGGCCAGTCACAGCCGTTGTGGCGTCACGTGACGGCGGTTAGGCCCGTTGGGCCAGGCGGTGGCGAGGGTTCCCCGCGCGCGAGCGACACTGACCGGGGTGTGGCTGGGGAGGGCGGGCCGCTCTGCGCGCGCCAGCGCCTCATTGCGGGCTCCCTGCGGCCGGTTCTCCTTCTGCTCCTCCATCGCCCCGCCGCTCGCCAGGCCGCCCGCCGCTCTCGGCGCTGGGAAGAGGCGGAGCCGCCGCTCCCTCGTGGCACGGGCACGTCGCCACGCAGCCCCGCCTCTCCGGGCGGGCGGGGCGCCGGCGGCGTTTCCCGGGCCTACACCCGGTGGCTGCGTGGGAGTCGCCGGGGCGACCCCGGGCGGTGCCCGCCGGCCCCTTGGGGAGCGGCGGGCGCTGGAGGCTCTGCCCCGTGGCCCTGTCACCTCCGGCCCTCGCGCGTTCTCCCGCGCTCCCCGGGACGCGCCGCAGCCCGGCCGGGGCAGGCCTCGGCGGCGCCCCAGACTGGGAACGGCCTGTGGCCACCCGGGAGCGGTGCAGCGCCTGCCTGGCCGGCCGGCGGCGGAGGAAGGCAGCGCGGCCAGCCGCGGGTGGCTGAAACTGCGGGCGGTTAGAGCGGCCCGTCAGTCACGCCCGGGCCGGGCGAGGGGCCCCCGGGCATTCTTCTGCCTGTGCTCCTGGGAGAAGCCCTGCGGCCGGCGCGGTGCCCTCTGCACCCTTCACTGCGTGGCTGAGGGGTTTCCCGCCCCTGAGCAACCTGGTTATGGTGATGTAAGTTTATCGGGTAGACCTGGCCCTGGACTTAGCAAGTTTCACCACTTGTGCATAGAATTATCACCCCTTGTGTAAACGTGCAGCTTTACACCTGAACGCACCAAAAGCGGGTGAAGGGTTGGTCCCCTCCGTTTACCAATTCTGGCATGGAGCCAAAGAAATAGTAAAAGCTGGTATGCTTCTAAGGGTTAGGGTTAGGATCAAGGAACTATGAAGGCTCCAGATTACCTTAAAGCCCTCAGTCCCCTGGTTTGAATGCTCCCGTTAGTATATGTTCATAGTCCAGAGGCTGGAGCAGGAAAGAGGCAAAATGTTCTGCTGAGAACAGGCAGGCTCAGTGCACACTACAAGCCCAGCACTACGGGCACCACAGAAGGAGGGATGAAAACACACTCTGAGATGAATGAAGCTGTTCATACCTCTCAGTGCCATTGTTCCAGGCTGCATTCATCTCCATGGTAGTTCAGATCTGGGCTAGGCACTCCACATCACCAAGCTCCTGCTCTCTCCTGCCTCCAGCTGGTACATGCCCCCATGACCTCTCCAAGTTCACAAGGGTCACAGAGAAGTGAGGAGGAGGGCGGAGTTGGCAGGGTGTGCGTGTGGTGGACGAGGTGGAGTAGTTTTTGTCTGTCGTGGCAGTGATGGGGGAGTATGTGGGAGGTTGGAGTAGTGAGGGGGGTGGGAGGGCACTGGAGAAGGGTAGGGACTGTGCCAGTTGGGAGGGTCATGGTGGGAATTCTACCCCTTGGCCAACCTTTGCCCCTTAGGGCTGTGCTCTGACACAGCTACTGAGCTCTGAGGGACCAGTGCAGCCCTAGACAACGACCCCTATCAGCGGAAGAGACCCCCAAACACTGTTCTTGTGACTAGAGCATTGAAGAACTGGGTTTCCAAAAACTATTCTTCCACAATCTCTCACTGAATAGGGGCTCATCCTCAAAGGAACATTTGCTCCCTGGGAACTCAGAAAACAGCAAAATCACAAAGAGAGGGAAAGTTGGGCATCTTCCTTTCAGTAACATTCGCGGGGGAGTGGAGTGCCCCTACCCCTTATCTACAAATACCCCTAGCGTTTACAATTAGTCTTCATGGCTACTGCACCAAGCCGAAGGGGAGTGCTCCAGGGTTCCCCTTCCTTCCACTGTTTCTTGCTGGGGGAAGGAACCCAGAATTCCTGTCCTTCCACATGTGACCTCCGCCAGCTGTGGGGAGGGGGCTCCAGGCTTCCCTGAATGCTGCTGCTTCGAGGGGAAAGGGGAGGTCAGCACAGTGCAGGGGGAGAGGGGGGGATGGAAGTGGGTCAGAGCTGTGCAGTGGGAAATATAAGGGGAGTTTCAGTGCTGGCCTCCCAAAACCGCCTACATTCATGGCCTTCCATTTCTACCCTCTTCAAAAATGTCCTCCCTTTGAGTCCATGCCAGTCCCTGCACTATTCCTATGTTCTCTCTCCAGCTTCTCAGCCTGCAGGGTCTCCACCAGTGCCCACCCTTTGGCTTATCTGTATAAATAAGTTAGCTTGAGCTTTTGCAGAAGGCTCACATATATCTGGGTGCATTGGCAAAGCGCTTTGCTAACTTATTTATACAGATAAGCCAAAGCAAATTTAGCATAGGAGACAAAAGGAAGCAGAAACTGACAAATATACATACATATCTTATTTGCATACTAACGTTTACCAATCTCCTAGCTCAGTAGGAGCTCTAAGTTAATTAGTTTGAGGCCCATTGTCTCACACTCCTTAATGTTTCTCTTCCTGACAACTATATTTCAACAAATCTTTCAAGCAGCACTTCTTTAATGAATTATAATTTCAATATAATTCATTCTACTTTCACAATCCCTCCTTTTGGTCAAGCTACGCAATGACCAACAATGACTGGGTTCCACATATCAATCGTTCTTTATCTCTTTGTTCATCAGTGATATTTAAAATCATCAAATTAGCACTCTGGTTTGGGGCAGCTATCTGTGTAGCATGCCTGACACAATTTTGGATACAACAGGAAAGTAACTGAAAACATACAAAAATTATTAGGATTCCAAACAGGAGAGTTAGGGTTCCCTGAAACAACCAGTTTTGTCAGTACCAATTGTATTTGTCTGTGTTTACCTATATCTTGTTAGGTTTCAGAGTGGTAGCTGTGGTAGTCTGTATCAGCAAAAAGAACGAGGAGTCCTTGTGGCACCTTAGAGACTAACAAATTTATTTGAACATAAGCTTTCGTGGGCTAAAACCCACTTCATCGGATGAATCCACTGGAAAATACAGTAGGAAGATATATATAGACACAGAGAACATGAAAAAATGGCTGTTGCCATACACACTAAAATGAGAGTGATCAATTAAGGTGAGCTATTATCAGCAGGAGAAAAAAACCTTTTGTAGTGATAATCAGGATGGCCTATTTCCAACAGTTGACAAGAAGGTGAGCGTAACTGGGGGGTTGAGGGGGAAATAAGCATGGGGAAATAGTTTTTATTTTGTGTAATGACCCATCCACTCCCAGTCTTTATTCAAGCCTAATTTAATGGTGTCCAGTTTGCAAACTAATTCCAATTCAGCAGTTTCTTGTTGGAGTCTGTTTTTGAAGTTTTTTTGTTGTAATATTGCGACTTTTAGGTCTATAATCGAGTGACCAGGGAGATTGAAGTCTTCTCCAACTGGTTTTTGAATGTTATAATTCTTGACGTCTGATTTGTGTCCATTTATTCTTTTGCGTAGAGACTGTCCAGTTTGACCAATGTACATGGCAGAGGGGCATTGCTGGCACATGATGGCATATATCACATTGGTAGATGAGCAGGTGAATGAGCCTCCGATAGTGTGGCTGATGTGATTAGGCCCTGTGATGGTGTCCCCTGAATAGATATGTGGGCACAGTTGGCAACGGCCTTTGTTGCAAGGATAGGTTCCTGGGTTAGTGTGTCTGTTGTGTGGTGTGTGGTTGCTGGTGAGTATTTGCTTCAGGTTGTGGGGCTGTCTGTAGGCAAGGACTGGCCTGTCTCCCAAGGTCTGTGAGAGCGATGGGTCGTCCTTCAGGATAGGTTGTAGATCCTTGATGATGTGTTGCAGAGGTTTTAGTTGGGGGCTGAAGGTGATGGCTAGTGGCGTTCTGTTACTTTCGTTGTTGGGCCTGTCCTGTAGTCGGTGACTTCTGGGTACTCTTCTGGCTCTGTCAGTCTGTTTCTTCACTTCAGCAGGTGGGTATTGTAGTTGTAAGAATGCTTGATGGAGATCTTATAGGTGTTTGTCTCTGTCTGAGGGGTTGGAGCACATGTGGTTGTATTGTAGAGCTTGACTGTAGACAATGGATCATGTGATGTGGTCTGGATGAAAGCTGGAGGCATGTAGGTAAGTATAGCAGTCAGTAGGTTTCCGGTATAGGGTGGTGTTTATCTGACCATCGCTTATTAGCACTGTAGTGTCCAGGAAGTGGATCTCTTGTGTGGACTGGTCCAGGCTGAGGTTGATGATTTAGTTGGGGATTGGTCCTGCTTTGAACTGGGGGTTGGACTAGATGACCTCCTGAGGACCCTTCCAACCCTGGTATTCCATGATTCTATGATGGTGGGTTGGAAATTGTTGAAATCATGGTGGAATTCCTCAAGGGCTTCTTTTCCATGGGTCCAGATCATGAAGATGTCATCAATGTAGCACAAGTAGAGTAGGGGCGTTAGGGGACGAGAGCTGAGGAAGTGTTATTCTAAGACAGCCATAAAAATGTTGGCATACTGTGGGGCCATGCGGGTACCCATAGCAGTGCCGCTGATTTGAAGGTATACATTGTCTCCAAATGTGAAATAATTATGGGTGAGGACAAAGTCACAAAGTTCAGCCACCAGGTTTGCTGTGACATTATCGGGGATACTGTTCCTGACGGCTTGTAGTCCATCTTTGTGTGGAATGTTGGTGTAGAGGGCTTGTACATCCATAGTGGCCAGGATGGTGTTTTCTGGAAGATCACCAATAGATTGTCGTTTTCTCAGGAAGTCAGTGGTGTCTCAAAGAAAGCTAGGAGTGCTGGTAGCGTAGAGCTTGAAGAGAGAGTCCACGTAGCCAGACAATCCTGCTGTCAGGGTGCCAATGCCTGAGATGATGGGGCATCCAGGATTTCCAGATTTATAGATCTTGGGTAGCAGATAGAATACCCCTGGTTGGGGTTCTAGGGGTGTGTCTGTGCAGATTTGTTCTTGTGCTTCTTCAGGGAGTTTCCTGAGCAGATGGTGTAGTTTCTTTTGGTAATCCTCAGTGGGATCAGAGGGTAATGGCCTGTAGAATGTGGAGTTAGAGAGCTGCCTAGCAGCCTCTTGTTCATATTCCGACCTATTCATGATGTATGACAACACCCATTTTTTCATGTTCTCTGTGTATAGATATATCTTTCTACTGCATTTTCCACTGCTTGCATCCAATGAAGTGGGTTTAAGCCCACGAAAGCTTATGCTCAAATAAATTTGTTAGTCTCTAAGGTGCCACAAGTACTCCTTGTTCTTTTTGCTTATTAGAAGATTAACAATGTGATCCAATTAGCTTGTAGATGTTAAACTTCAGTTCCTAACTGTAATGTCTGTTACTATATTCTATTGATTCAGAGATCAAAAAGGAATGTTAACTTTAGATGAAACTTGGGTGTAATAATATCATTGTCTATATATCTCTTTGAAGTTTGTGGTAAACTGTTTATGAACTGCTTGAATGGTTAATTACCTTATGCTAATGAATGCAGCTAGTTACCGGTGTGTGCCTAGGAAACAGAAACTTACTTCAAAGCAACAATGTATGTTACCTATTCTTCATCCAAGAGATCCCTGCTGTGGTGTCTGCTGTCAAGAGGCTCTCACAACCTGCTAGAGAACTGTAAAAGAACTCTAGGGCTTGATCCTTATCTCAGATCTACTTGAACTTTGTCAGGGGCAGTTTAAGTCACAAGACTTAGATCTCCAGGTCCACCGCTAATTCTCATGGAAGAGTTTGAGCACTTGCAGTGGTTCTCAACCAGGGTTACGTGTACCCTGGGGGTACACAGGTCTTTCAGCGGGTACATCAACTCGTCTAGATATTTGCCTAGTTTTACAACAGGCTACATAAAAAGCACTAGCAAAGTCAGAACAAATGAAAATTTCATACAGACAATGAGTTGTTTATACTGATCTATATACCTTACACTGAAATGTAAGTACAGTAGTTATATTCCAATTGATTTATTTTATAATTATATGGTAAAAGTAAGCAATTTGTCAGTAACAGTGTGCTGTGACACTTTTGTATTTTTATGTCTGATTTTGTAGGCAAGTAGTATTTAAGTGAGGTGAAACTTGGGGGTACGCAAGAGAATCAGACTCCTGAAAGGGGTACAGTCGTCTGGAAAGGTTGAGAACCACTGGCCTGTTGAACTATAACCGATTGAATTGATTCTGGAAGGACTTTTGCAAATCAGCAGCTCACCATTTCTACTATGAAACTGACGTAAGAACTTTATTCATATCTATAAGTATAATGATCTTTTAACCATAGTAACTCTTTTCTTTTTTAATGTATCTTAGTTTAGTTCATAAGAATTGACTGTAAGCGTGTATTTGGGTAAGATCTGAAATATACATTGATCTCGTGGTGGGTAATGTGCCCAATCTTTTGGGATTGGTAGAACTTTATATTAGTGAATAAGATTTTATGTAATCCTCACCATATTAGACTTGGTTGCCTGGTTGGGAGCCAAAGGATGGATTGCTTAAGGGGAACCATATTTTAGCTTCTTGGTAACCAGTAAGGTATTGCAGAAGCTGTTTTGTTACTGACTTGGTGGCTCTAATTATTGGAATAAACCACCAATTTTGGGAATCGTCTACCCTGTTCTTTTCAGTTTGCCCTGATTGAGCCATACTTTGCAGTATCGGGTGCTAATGCTACAGATAAACGCCTGACGCCAGCCCCTCTTCTCACTGACATCAACAGCAAACCACCTTGCCTTTTCTGGACAAAAACAGTGCCTCACAGCAAAACTCTTGGAAACTGGTGACATCTGGGACAAAAATCAGTGATGGCCCTCAGTGACCATGGCTTAGGCTGAGCAAACCCCCAGTAGGCATTAAAGCTGCCTAGAATTAGGGTGACCAGATGTCTCGATTTTATAGGGACAGTCCCAATTTTGGGGGCTTTTTCTTATATAGGCACCTATTATATATATATATTATATCGGCAGCTATTTTCTTATATAGGCACCCCCACCCCCGTCCTGATTTTTTACATTTGCTGTCTGGTCACCCTACCTAGAATCCATGTGGAAGATGCTCAGTCTAACAAGAGAGAAGACTAACACAATGTAAGATTGCTGCATCTCCAGGCCAGGGTGCCCCCTGTGGCAGCGTGCGGGTTCGGGACACACACCAGATGAAGCTGTAGGTGGCTCACAAATGATAGTTCAACCTACCTGGTGCAGGTTCAGCATGTTAACAGGCAGTCTATATCGTGAGCCTCCGAGGGTGAGGGCTGAGCACTTAAACCTTCATGAGCTCCGGCCTCCTGGCTGGAGCAGCCAATAAGAGTTGATGGCTCAGACTTCCTAAGATGAGGGCTGAACAAACAAACAGGTAGCATTTCCAGCCACTGGCCTAAAAGTCAGAGCACACCCAGATCTGCATATGGGGCTGGAGGTAGGTGGACCCGGGCCCACCCTGCTCCAGCCCGGGGCCCTAGAAGTGGTGTGTGACTCTGCCACAGGGTCAGCGGGAAAACATGCAGTCTAGGGGGACCATCTTTTTGAAATGCAAAAATAGGACACATGCAGGAGCCCCGCCCCTTCTTGGCCCCATCCTTGCTCCTCCTTTCCCTCTGAGGCCCTGGCCAGGCCAGAAGCCAGAGCTCGGCAGTGGTAAGAGCTGCCCAGGGAGCCAGGCCATTGTGGGGAGCCTGGACCCTCCATCTGTCCTGGGTGGGGCCTTGGTGGGGGGAGAGGAGCAGGAGGCATGGCCTTGTGGCAAGGGGCGGGGGGGCTAAGGCCCACCTCAGCCCGCTCCCGCCCCCACCAAGAGGCTGGTGCTGCCCTTGAGCCTTGGGCAGGCATGGAGCAGTGCCACAGGGAATCCAGGACAAATGTTGTCCCAGAGTCATTCAGCCTGGGACTGGGACTTGAAATGTACATTCTGGGACTGTCCCGCCTAATTAGGGATGGATGTTCACCCTAGTGTGGTTGCTACCTTGCATCCTGGCAGTACCATCGGACCCAAGTCTTGTTTCCCTCGCCTTCTTCCTACCAGCTCCAGCAGGTGCTGCTCCATCCCTGCTGGGACCTGGCTCTCAGCCTCCTGGTCAGGCAGCCATTCCACTTGTTTCTCTCCGGGGTTGTCCAGTTCCTGGGCCAGTGGGTCGCCTTTCCTCCCTGCTGCCGGTTGCGGGCTCAGCTGAGGGCTCAGGTACCTGGGATGGAGGTCTGCCTCCTAATCTGGTCCAGGCCAACTGAGTAGCAGGGCCTTGCCCTTATACTGCCTTCCCTGCACTGCACTTCCTGTGAGGGAGTCGGGTGAGCTGAACCCCCCAAGGCAGGGTTAATCCCTCTGTGCTGGAGGGAGGCCATGCTGCTTCACTACACACAGGAAGACTTTTAGCAATGCTGAGTTTGGTGAGTGCCCCCATGTGATGACCAGACTGAAGAGGGCATATCCCAGAAATAACTATACTCAGCCTGCCCTACGTTTAATCCATTCTAGGGCATTTTCGCCTACATGATCATTAAGGTAATGTCAAAACTGACAAATGAGGGATTCATTTACTTACTGCACCTGCCTAGCCAAAGTAGAACACTGATAGCAAAGCCGAGCTACTGACAAAGAGATCAGGTACCCGCGATAATACGTGTTCACTGCAGGAGCAAGAGCACATACCATTGTATTAGCAGCACAAGAATAACTGAGTTAGCCTCAATGTGGGACAATTGCAAAACACCCTACTTGGAACTACTCCAGGAGAAAAAATAATTCACAGATATAGTGACTCCCCTAGGCTGGATGAACAGACAGCTGGGCTCACAGGCAGCCACTGCCTGAAAATGGTAATCACGCTCCCCCTGCCACTCAGACATATCCCTAGCTGTAAGAGGCAGACTGTAAACTACGCATTCCACTGTTGCCAACTCTCCTGATCTTATTGTAAGTCTTGCAATAGTTGATGTTTTTCTTAAAGGCCCAGCTACTGGAGCCATGGGATTACATAAGAATTCCAGATTTCAGCTTCCAAGAAAAGGTTCTATCTCCCTGTGCTTGTGAAGAAAAGCTTGACACCATGACCCCTGCAGGCTGCAGCACCAGGCAGCCAGGAGACACACCCCACAGTTCGTACTGTTAAAACCCCTGGGATTTGTGGGCCTGATGTGTGATTGGGACGGCTCAGGGCTGGCACCGTTGAGGAGACGTTGAGCAGACAATGCTGGTGACGGGGAAGGGCTGGCTGAAATACATCAAGAAGCAGATGCTCCACGGCAAAGCCCAGCTCATCCATTGTGTGGTGACAAAAGGGCTCTCACAGAGCGAAACAGGCCTCCATGCTCAGAGCACTCAATCACCTGCAATTTCATCACTAGGGAGGGCCGTTCCCCAAGGGCTCCACTCGATTACCTCCCCTGGGTTTGGGGGGAGCTTGGCCCTTCCTGCCTCTAATGAAAATCAGTGGGGCTGCCGGGGGCACTGGTGCCCTGCTGGGAGTCCAGGGGGCTCCAGGCCTGCCCTGCCAGCAGGGGAAAGCACCAAATGGCAGAGAGGAATTATCCCGTGGGCAGTCTCTTACCAGCTTCCTCCTTCCTGCAGGGAGATCATAGAATATCAGGGTTGGAAGGACCTCAGGAAGTCATCTAGTCTAACCCCCTGCTCAAAGTAGGAGCAATCCCCAATTTTTGCCCCAGATCCCTAAATGGCCCCCTCAAGGATTGAACTCAGAACCCTGGGTTTAGCAGGCCAATGCTCAAACCACTGAGTTATCCCTCCTGCTAGAGCAGGGAAGGGGGGAGCCTGCTGATTCCAGCCCTCCTTCCTTCCAGGGGAAGAGGGAACTCTGCCCCACCTCCCCCCTGCAGGATCCAGGGCGGTCGAACAGCACCGCCCCTGCTGTCCATAGAGAGGGCAGGTGGGAACAGGAGGGCTGAGCCCTTACACAGCTCCACACAGCAAACACACACGCAGGGCTGCTGAGGGACACATTTATTCCCTTGCCCCTGTTCCCTGTGCTGAGCTGTCCCATCACCCACCACGATGGAATGTCATGCACCCTCCAGAATCAGTGACCTCCCTCGGTTCACCTCTTTGAACCTATTCACATGCTTTATTACATAATGGGTCCAAGCTGAGCTCACAGTCTCGATTGTGGGTAAACACGACCGTTGCCCATCCTATTCGTTACAAATAATCATATCAGCTGGAAAGTGAATACCTGCTTCTGCCCCAGTATTTGCCATAGGCCCATCAGCAACCCATTGAGGTGGTGCACCCAGATAAGAATGTCTTATATAAAGATAATAACATGGCCAATGAAATTATTGTATTTCATGCCCCTGGCAAGGCGCTTACGGTTCTGGCTCCTGTTATGTGCTCAGATCCCACTGTCCATGGGTAGCTGGCAAAATTAATGAGATGCATTTTTCTTAACTTTCGGGAACCAACTACTCATCCCAATGGACTGAGCTAACTTTCAGCTACTGGAGATTCCTATGAAACCCAGCCCTGACCAAATGTTATGAAATGACTTCATCCATTAGAAACTCCTTGGATCTCTTCTGGGTGAGGCCCCCCGCCCAGTCGCCCCAGATTTGTATTTCTGGGCTACTGCCTTGTGGTTTGGATTCTAGGGGCCTCCCTTACTGAAGATGTCATGTACTTTTTGAGGTGTCTCTGGAAGGGGATAGGGGTCTCAAAGAGTAAGCCTGATCAGATTGGAGAAGTATGAAATAGTCCCATGCAGATACTCACTGGGTTACAGCCCCGGGAGAACAGAATGCTCACTTCCACGTATAGACTCAAACAAACAGCAATTGTTGGGTACAAAGTAGCTGCCTTTTTGGAAGCATATTCAAATTGGCTTCCATATCGCCTCCCATTATCCAAGGCAACAATTTCTCTGGACACGCTAGGCTTCCCCACTCACCTCCATGCAAAATTTAGAACCGCCTGTGAAACACAGTGGGGAACCTACAAGCTGGAGCAATGGCTTGAGGATTTCCAAACTAGAGCTGGGCCAAACGTGTGTCAGACACGCTGATGAGGGCTAGAGCCCGGGCGAGCTCAGCCAACTAGGTGACTATGAAATCAGGTCATTCGCAGAGCTGGGGAGCCGACAAATCTCTCCCCACCAGCTGCCCTGTGGCTCCTGAGGATATTCATTGTAGGAATGTGAGCGAGGACCCCAGCATTTGTTGGAGGACAGGGTCATTTGGAGAGGCCTTTCTGGGGCCAGCCCATTTGATCTGGCAGCAAGAAGTCTGTGCATAATTGTGTGTGACTCTGTGGGAAAGCTGCAGTTATTTTAGCACAGCCAATCTGAGGAATTTGCTGAGATTTCCTAGCTCACTCCAGATTGTTTTTAATAGTGTCCCTTTCAGGTTCCATTAGGGGTTTGTTAATCTCAGTGATTATTGCTCATCTCTGTCACCAAGTTAGGGCTATATAAATACGCCACTGTTTTAATGCCTATTTTATAAGTGTGTAATATCGGCATCTGGAGAGAGCAGCCTTCACGCACACCCTTAGACAGGCAGAACTGCAAGGTCTCACTGCATGGATGAAACAATGGTGGAGGGAAGAGGGGGATTTAGGTTGATTAGGAACTGCAGAAGCTTTTGGAATAGGAGGAGCCTATACAGGAAAAACAGCCTCTACCAAAACAGAATTCAATTGCTGGCATGTACAGGTACAAAGGTTGTAGCGGAGTTTAGAGGAGTTTTCAAACTAAAAGCCAACACATGAAGAGGAACACATGATTTGGACAGACACATCCCTTAGGGGAAGATTTATTAAAGGGCCCCTTACTGAATGAGGGAGGCAACCTAGTGACAGAGGATGTGGAAAAAGCTAATGTACTCAATGCTTTTTTTGCCTCTGTCTTTACGAACAAGGTCAGCTCCCAGACTACTGCACTGGGCAGCACAGCATGGGGAGGAGGTGACCAGCCCTCTGTGGAGAAAGAAGTGGTTCGGGACGATTTAGAAAAGCTGGACAAGCATAAGTCCATGGGGCCGGATGCGCTGCATCCAAGAGTGCGAAAGGAGTTGGTGGATGTGATTGCAGAGCCATTGGCCATTATCTCTGAAAACTCATGGTGATCCGGGGAAGTTCCGGACGACTGGAAAAAGGCTAATGTAGTGCCCATCTTTAAAAAAGGGAAGGAGGAGGATCCTGGGAACTACAGGCCAGTCAGCCTCACCTCAGTCCCTGGAAAAATCATGGAGCAGGTCCTCAAGGAATCAATTCTGAACCTCTTAGAGGAGAGGAAAGTGATCAGGAACAGTCAGCATGGATTCACCAAGGGCAAGTCATGCCTGACTAATCTAATTGCCTTCTATGACGAGATAACTGGTTCTGTGGATGAGGGGAAAGCAGTGTTGTTCCTTGACTTTAGCAAAGCTTTTGACACGGTCTCCCACAGTATTCTTGCCAGCAAATTAAAGAAGTATGGGCTGGATGAATGGACTATAAGGTGGATAGAAAGCTGGCTAGATTGTCGGGCTCAACGGGTAGTGATCAATGGCTCCATGTCTAGTTGGCAGCCAGGGGTCCACAAGGGTCAGTCCTCGGGCTGGCTTTGTTCAATATCTTCATAAATGATCTGGAGGATGGTGTGGATTGCACCCTCAGCAAGTTTGCAGATGACACTAAACTGGGAGGAGAGGTAGATACGCTGGAGGGTAGGGATAGGGTACAGAGGGCCCTAGACAAATTAGAGGATTGGGCCAAAAGAAATCTGATGATGTTCAACAAGGACAAGTGCAGAGTCCTGCACTTAGGAAGGAAGAATCCCATGCACCACTAGAGACTAGGCACCGAATGGCTAGGCAGCAGTTCTGCACAAAAGGATCTAGGGGTTACAGTGGATGAGAAGCTGGATATGAGTCAACAATGTGCCCTTGTTGACAAGAAGGCAATGGCATTTTGGGATGTATAAGTAGGAGCATTGCTAGCAGATCGAGGGACGTGATCGTTCCCCTCTATTTGACATTGGTGAGGCCTCATCTGGAGTACTGTGTCCAATTTTGGGATCCACATTACAAGAAGGATGGTGGAAAAATTGGAAAACATCCAGCGGAGGGCAACAAAAATGATTAGGGGACTGGAACACATGACTTATGAGAAGAGGCTGAGGGAACTGGGATTGTTTAGTCTGCAGAAGAGGAGACTGAGGGGGGATTTGATAGCTGCTTTTAACTACCTGAAAGGGGGTTCCAAAGAGGATGGATCTAGACTGTTCTCAGTGGTAGCAGATGACAGAACAAGGAGTAATGGTCTCAAGTTGCAGTGGGGGAGGTTTCGATTGGATATTGGAAAAAACTTTTTCACTAGGAGAGTGGTGAAACACTGGAATGCGTTACCTAGGGAGGTGGTGGAATCTCCTTCCTTAGAAGTTTTTAAGGTCAGGCTTGAGAAAGCCCTGGCTGGGATGATTTAGTTGGGGATTGGTCCTGCTTTGAGCAGGGGGTTGGACTAGATGACCTCCTGAGGTCCCTTCCAACCCTGATATTCTATGATTCTATGAAAGGGGATACTCCATATCCTAGTAAAGAGGAGAGGCTAGAAGTTGATAAAATACAGGTAGGAACTGAAGAGAAACAGTGAAACAAAAGAGTCCCATTCAATTACATCACGTGACGGATGACAACTAAATACTGAGAAGTTTTATAAATGCTTGTATACAAATGCAACTGGTCTAAAGACCAAGATGGGTAAATTTGCAAGCCTTTATATTTGCACATATAATAGATGTGATGCTGGCACACCAGGTGCCCGCTCTTGCGAAGACTCCTAGCCCTGGTCTACACTAGGACTTTAGATCGAATTTAGCAGCGTTAAATCGATTTAAACCTGCACCCGTCCACACAATGAAGCCCTTTATTTCGACTTAAAGGGCTCTTAAAATCGATTTCCTTACTCCACCCCTGACAAGTGGATTAGCGCTTAAATCGACGTTGCCGGCTCGAA